GGTTCATTGATGGTTATGCCTATGGCAGGGAAGCCATTAGACCCCATGATTGAGAGACTGGAGTCAGATGTTTCGGAAACTTATTTTATGCTGTCGGTGCCATCACGTACTGTGTCAAGCGGTTCGCAAGGTGGGGCAAACAAGGTGGACAAGAAACGGCAGGAGACAACAACTGCCGAGAAGCCTCAGCAAAATAAGTTTCAGAAGGGATCAAAAGGCAAAGGCAAGGGAAAGAGCAAGAAACGTGAGCCTGTGCCCTCGGGCCTTAAGGGAGTGCAATCCAGGACACCCCAAGGAGATCAGATTTGTTTTGCTTACAATCTTGGGACATGCAAGAAAGAATCGGCATGCCCACGCAAGCATGTTTGTGCTGTGCCTGGGTGCTACAAGAATCATCCTCAGACGGAGCATCAGTGACTTCGTGCTCCAAGTGTTTCATCCAATTTTGTAATGAAAAGGCCGATCCAACGCATGAGCAATGAATGTGCCGAGAACCCGACGCATGTGAAACCTGATTTTGGATCAACGGTTATTTTTGCATTGGTCTATTTTGCGGCTCAGGCAACCTGACATTCGCAATGAGCATTTCTTTCCTATAGCTTTGGTGTCGATCATACAGTTGCAAAGCAACGTGCGAAAGTTGTTTGTTTGGATCTGACGCAAGAGGACCGTCAGAAACTGGTCACTGGCTGGATAACTTCAGGTAAATGCTTGTCAGTCCAAGCGGCTTGGCAAACAGCATCATGGCCCACCACCTTGAAGAAGTTCACGCTGGCCAAAGGGGCTACCGGGAATTTGTGGTACTAACCTTGCACTACTGCGTGCTGCCAACAGACTTTACAGGTTTATGACCCCGCTTATTTTTCTGAGCTGGACAAGTTGGATATCACCTGGACAGTGGAAAATGTTAATATTGTGAACTAGCTGACTAGCTTTTGGGTTGAGGTGAATGAAAAGTTGACTCAGCGTTACTGCGAACCTCACAATTGTATGTTTGGCGGCGTGCGTTTGAAGCAACTTGCTTGGCTTCAAATAACAAAGCATTCATGGCCTAGAATAGTTTGTGAGCAGGTGATCATGAGCATGCACCGGGAGTGTAAAGTGGGTGATACTGCCAGAGCAGAATGCACACCTCAACCAGCCAAAGCTCTTGCAACTGCCAAATGTCTCTCAGGTTTCGAAGCGACCTAAGTGGTCACATTTTCATTCTATTTCAGCTGGAAAACAACAGTCAAAGCTGACGTCTCGGCCCGTGTTATTGAGTTTTCTCACATTTTGGTGCCAAGCAGTGTGCCAGGAGGTTTTGCTTTGATTTATTTGATGGTTGTTTGCAACAATGCACCGTGGTGCAGCTGGAAAGCAATCAATTCCTCGTGCCTTGTTGGAGCAAGTTGCTCAGAAAGACAGATAGAAAGGGGGGAGAGAGCCGTCTTTTTCAGTTGGGGGAGAGAACCGTTCTTTCGGTTATTCTATTCTGTGGAATGCACCCCTGCACTACATTTTCTTTGGGCCTTTCAAATTGAGGAGGTTGAGATAAAATGCGGGATGCCTTCATCCAGGAGGTACACCTTGGAGAAGAAGTTTATAGCCCTAATGGGAAGCCTGATTAACCGGTAGAAGTACGATGACCGCACTCATAAGACGATGTTTAGCATGGCTTCATCTTGGCATATGACAGCCCAGCGTCATCTGTGCTTCCTCCCAAGCTAGTTCCAGCCATTTTTTCGAAAGATGATTTACATGGACATTCGGACAGAGCCAGCAAAGCATTGAGGTGTATGACACGTAGTAGCGGTGATGATGAGCGGGATCAGAGTTTGTGGACAAAAACCCTTTTTGGGGTGGGCAAGGTTGGATGTTGGGTCCATTACATGGGAAGAGCTGGCCATGGGTGCTGCATTTTCCTGTAGGTTCCTCTGTCTCAGTCTGGGAAGGTGAGGCCTTTTGGTAACTGAGTCAAAGATTGGTCAACTCCGTTGTGGATACCTATGAGCTGGCAACAAATGATGGTCCTTACGTTATTTGCAGTTATGCCACCTACTTGATGCGATGCTTGGAGGAACAGGTTTTGCCTACTTGTCTCGAAGGTATGTCGTTGGACTTTGCGTCGGTGTGCAGACAGCCTGCGATTTCAGATGGATCCTACAACATTCCCACCTCTCTGTTTATGGCCCGTCCTGTGGGTATGCCAAGCTTTTCCAGCAAGTGGCCTTACCCTGCGGGACCAGATATGCGGTAAATACCTTTACAAGGTGCTATGGGTTTCTACAGTGGATTGCTGCACGGATTTTTATCCTTCCTTTGATTTGCTACTTCGACGACTTCGTCGCCTTCTCTGTGCTTAATTGTGTAACAATTGCCAGGCTATCTCAGCGGCTTGTAGGTTCAATGGGGCTTTTGAATCGCAGGCCGCTCTCTGGACAGCCTAGATGGCAAAGTTAATTCTTGGTTTGAATTTCACGTGGGAGACGAATGTTTTGCATCTTGGTTCAAGCAGTGGCGCAGAACCTCATGGAGAGTTTGAGTCGCACCCAGTTGCCATTGCCCTGAAGCTATGGGGTAAACTTGTTACCCCTCCCAGGGCATGACCTACATAAATAATGAGGGTGCAGAGTTTGCCTGAATCGAGATCGCTCTGACTCATTTGCAGATTCTCTGATCTGCCAATTGGTGGCACAGCAACTGGACGTGTTCTATGTTGTACCTTGGTACAGCCGAGTTCCTTCTGCGTCGAATTTATCAGTTTGCCTTTCTAGAAAGATCCGACACCGTTTGCTAACAGATTCAAACTGCATTCCCGAAGGGGAAGTTGCACTTGTCTTCAACGAAAGCTTGAAGTACGTGGAAAGCCACACAAGCATGGGTGGGGACCGTGGCTTAACGAGGCCTGAATGATATCTCCACTGTGCTAGAAAAAGAGTGAGTGCAGTCGTCCCTTTTTCAGTTGTGCATGTGCAGTTTGTTTCTTGTTACATGTCGGTTTTTCGAATTCGAGCGATACACGGTGTCGTTTTCGGTTGGCGCAAATTGTAGGGCCCCTGTTTTGTTTACGACGCAAGTCTTCGTTTGAAAGCAAACGTCTTGGCCCCCTTTTTCTGTTGACGACGCAAGTACACGTTTGGCGGAACGGTATGTTAGGATCAACGGTTTTTATGTAGTTTGGAATAAGTTGCGACTCAGCGCGCTGATGTAACCTTATTCCTTATGAAATTAAAAAGAAGCTGAGAGCAGCTTCTAGTTGATCCTTCTTCTCCCGTTCCCCTTTCCTCTCTTGCGTCGCGCGCCTCGCGTCTCCGCTCTTCTTAGCGCGTCGCGTTGCGAGGGAAACTTCTACCTGAAGAAACTTCTGAGTTGGGGGATCACTTGAAGAGGGTCTAATTGCTGAGCGTTTTGAATGCAAACGGTCTCTGCAATCAACATGTAGTTTCACTTTTAACCCTTCTGTGATCTGGTTTCCCCAACTCTGTTTCTGGGTTTCAGCTTTTTGTTTAGTAAACATCTGCTGAATCTTTTACACAAAGGTGTATCCTGAACTAAATGCCAATGGTGGCCATTTCAAGCTCAATACCTCCAAAGGGAGGGTGGGAGGGTTCCACGTTTCTTACGTGATTCGTTTTTTGTGCCCCCCGCCCCCCCTGCTTTTTCTCTTGTACACTCTTGTCTGGTTCATACTCCAGACAATTTGTTTCTCACACGTGTGTTTAGGCCCCTTAACGAGGCCTGAATGATATCTCCACTGTGCTAGAAAAAGAGTGAGTGCAGTCGTCCCTTTTTCAGTTGTGCATGTGCAGTTTGTTTCTTGTTACATGTCAGTTTTTCGATTTCGAGCGATACACGGTGTCGTTTTCGGTTGGCGCAAATTGTAGGGCCCCTGTTTTGTTTACGACGCAAGTCTTCGTTTGAAAGCAAACGTCTTGGCCCCCTTTTTCTGTTGACGACGCAAGTACACGTTTGGCGGAACGGTATGTTAGGATCAACGGTTTTTATGTAGTTTGGAATAAGGCAGGTGGACATTCTAAGCTGTCTGTGTTCACAAGCAGGCCGAGGAAGTTACAGCCGACTCGAGATATTTGTTTTGGTTGGCAACGATACAGCATTTTTGATTTCCTTCAATTTTTGTACAATTCAGGTTTCACAATGTGCTGGCCTTTTTGGCTTTATTCGATATTTTCTGGGACGTGGCAACGCAGTGTATCACTCAGGCAGGCACAAGCCTCAAGGCAGGACAATCATGAAGTCCAGAGAAAGTTTGCCTCCAACCGTCATTTTGTTCGGGGGTCAGTCGGGACGCCTGAAGGCAATTCAAGCATCTCAGGCAACCATGGGATCCAATGTCAGGCACCATCACTTGGATCTAAGACCCTGAAAGCATCTAGCATTTCAGAAACCAATGGATTCATTGACCCACGCCTGTAAATTTGGGATCTTGACCCTTGACGGCACCATCACTTGGATCTAAGATCTTGAAAGCATCTAGCATTTCAGAAACCAATGGATTCATTGATCCACGCCAGTTAATTTGGGATCTGGACCCTTGATGGCTTCTTAATGACAACTTTGTTTGCAGTGTGAAATCTGGGATTACTCAAATCATCGTTTGCATGATTTTCGGTTGAGTTTTGAATCCGATTGTTTCCTGGGCCAAATCCTCGAAGTGAAATTCACCTTCACTTGAGTACCAGTAACACATTGAGAAGGAGGGTTCGCAACCAGCTAGGACACTCAACCTTGTGGAACCCCGGGGAGTATAGAGATCAGTCTCTAACACCTGGTTCCGGCAGAGACTCATCGGTTTTTGCGATCCTGTTTGGCTCTCCTCATCGAGCAGAAGGACCTGTTGCTGTCGGGCACTGCACTCAGGCTACAGTATAGTGCTTCTGGATTTTCAGTTCCTACTCCTCCTTTGCAAGTGTTCTTACAACCTGCTGTCGGCCAAGGGGGGGGAGTTTGGGACGATTCAGTCAGCAGCAACGAATCTAGTGCTCCAGTAAGTATTGCAAATGCCTTGGAGGATGAAGACCTTAACGCAATACAAAGCGATGCAAACAGAGACTGGTGATTCTTTTGAGGACAGTTGTCCAGGTGATTCAGGCTGCAGATCTGAGCAATGCCAACAATTTGAACCCAGTTTTGGCGGCACTCTTTTTGGAGGTGAGGCTGAACACTCAGACACTGACTATGGTTTTGAACATGTTGGTGAAACAGTTTTGCAAGGTCACAATGGTCTTGATTTTTCGGGTGGTACATCAGAACCTACAAATTTTGTTGTGACTGGCTCTTCAACTTCATTTGAATTTTTGCGGAGTGCAGTCAGTGCTAGTGAAGAATCGAACAGGGTCAGATCAGAGAGGTCTGCTGACGCCTCCAACTTGGGGGCTGCACAGGTACCCAGAGGCCCGGTTTTGGACAATGGGAACTTCTCACAGATGCTGCATGATGCTTTCATCAGAACTGCAGAGCCCATGTCAGTGGTTATGCCTTGGGAGAGAGGAGTTGCAAAGACAATTTTTTCTAGAGGCCGTAACACCTTGGGTATTCAAAAACAACAGTTGAGAAGTTGGGTTCAGACAGCTGACAGTTTGTCGGAAGATACGGTCGCATCGGAACCTAAGATGGTGGAGGCACCCGGCATGGCGCTGTCTGGAGCCCTATTTGAAAGAGCTTTGTCTGTGGTGTCGGACCAGAATTTTCTGGAAAAACGACAGGAGGCCTTGGATGTAGCCATAGACAAATGGTTCAGCATCATCAGAATCAACCTTTTAGGATCTGAGGTTGGACAGACAATCATTGGACATGGTGGGAACATCCAAGAGCAGAAATTGGGTGCTTACGAAACAATCGAGGCAATCAGCGGTGTCAGGTCGCGGACAACAGCCATTTCAAGGGCAAACGCTTTGCTGAAATTTTTCAGGTGGAGAGCTGACTTCACTGAAGACGATGGCAAGCCGGTGACTGAGCAAGCCGCTTGGAACTACGTGGCAAGGCTTAGATCCGATGGTGCTGCCCCTACAAGGGCATCCAGTTTTCTTGCTGCCTGCGGTTATGCGTTGCATGTTTTTGGGTTCAAAGATTTTTACAGCGTGTACAACAGCAGAAGGGTGAGAGGACTTGCAGAGATCATGCATTCTGGTAAGAGTCCACTCAAGCAGGCAAAGGTCCTTTCTGTTGCACAGGTGGTGGCCTTGCACAGTTTGATGGAAAACAGAGCAGCAAATTTCATCGACAGGGCGCTTGCAGCATACGCCCTCCTGGCCCTTTATGGCAGGTGCAGACACAGTGATTTGGCGTCGGTGGATTGTGTAATGTTGGACTTCGATGAGAAAGGAGGATTCATCGAGATATCAACAAGGTTGCACAAGACAGCCAAAAGCGCATCTCAAAAATCCCAATTGCTTCCAATGGTCATTCCGGCGATTGGGATCACGGGACAAGTTTGGGTGCAAGAGGCCATCGACTGTGGCTTGAGTTTGGAGGGTGAAATTCAAGGGCCTCTTTTTAGGCCGCCCATGGCAGCTGGTGGAGGACTGTGCAAACGTGGTCTGACTTCGTCGGAAGTGACAAAGTTTCTGAGGCTCCTTTTTGAAAGCAACGAAACAAATATTGATGGGCCACGAGTGTCGTCACACAGCCTCAAGGCCACTGCGCTGTCTTGGGCATCCAAGTTTGGATTGCCTATCCCTGACAAAGCAATTCTGGGAAGACACGCAAGTGCAACTACAGAGGCACATGCGATTTATTCGCGTGACCTTGCTGTGGCGTCGGTGATGAAATTGCAGGACATCATTTTGAGGATTTCACGTTTGGAGTTTCAGCCTGATAACCCTCGCAGGGGATACTTTGCAGAAGAAAGCAGACCTCAGCCGGAGATTGAGGCCAGTGAGGTGGTGAAGGTGGAAGAAGATTCACCCTCTCAAGAAGTTGCTGAAGGCGACACAGAAATGGACAATGGAGAAATTTCTGAACACCATAGCTCTTCAAGCGATTCTTCGGCAGGTGAGTCTTCGAGTTCAGAAGATGAGGTGAAGCCTCCTCCACCAAAGTGCTACAGACATACTGCACGAGGCCATTTGGAAGGCCGCTTTGTGATCCACAAGACCTCAAAACTGGTGCACTACAGAGACTCTGTGGTGGCAGACGTGAAATGTGACGGCAAACATGTCTTGTCATGTGGAAGAGCGTTGAATGGAAACTATGGAACGGTTGTCAATTTCGACACCGTTGCACTTTGCAGAAGGTGCAAAGTAAATGCAGTCAAAGATGGATTGTTGCCACCGGTTTAAAATAGGTGCGGCAGTTAATTCTCACGCGGTGGGATGAATGGGTTGCACACCCAATTTGATGCATGGCATCAAACAGGATTGCATGGCATCCGTACTTCTTCACATCACTCAGGATTGCATGGCATCCTTTTCTCATGATGCATTTGGCTCTGAGACGTGTGATTGGATGGAATGGCATATGTTTTTATTTTCCAATAAATTAGGATTGCAGCAGAAGCCACAACATCAGCTCACTTTGCAAGATGAGTCTTTGGAAAACATGGTGATGTGAAACTTTTTTGCAGATTAATTTTGATTTAAAATTTCAGGATGATTTGAACTGGTGATGTTTCGGATTTGTCGCAGGTGTCAATAGGTATCTTTGCGGCAGTGCAAGATGGCGTCGCTCCTGGACTCAGAAGCTCAGTTTGTTCAGAGAACGCTGGATCTCAAATTATCAGATGAGTTGAAGAGAAGTCTTAAAGGTGCAAATTTACAAACCTTTGGTACGCTGGCTTATGCACATGGACAGCCTGGGCAGAACATTGTGGACTCTGCGTTTGAATCATGGCTCACCTCAAACATTTTGACAGGTGCGAGTGTTGCTGATATCGCAGGTGCCAAAAGGCTTTTATTCGAATCGCAGACCATGGTCCTAGCGGCATTGCAGGATTCAGTGAACACCCCGGACAGTACTTCCATCAAGAAGGTGCCAACCGCAGAGCGCGAAACCAAAATGAGGCAGTTGAAAAACCAGCTGAGCGGTTTGCTTATCGAAGGTCCACTTGAACCTGGACATTCACTACTTGATCTTGCAGCAAGTATGTATCAACAAAATGAAGTTCGTTACATACCCCCTGAAAAAGCTGTCAGCAGATCCCATGAAGTTTTGACGCAGAAGAGCCCTTCAAAGATGCTGGACATCTCATCTGAGAGTCTGATCATTAAGGAAAAAACTGAAGTTCAGGACATGGTGGTGTCCTCAGCGTTACAAATCCAAGAGGCTCTACAGCGTAGAGGTTTGGCCCTTGTCTTTGCGGACTTGGTACAGCATGCAAACTACACCAGGTACCTCACTACGTTGTTTTCTCATTTGCACAGAGAGCCGCCAGCGGGGTACAGTAGGTGCTCAGTGAGTCAGATTGTGGCTGCTGACAAACTTGTGTGGCAGGCATTGCTGGAAGAGGGAGTGCAACCGAAGCGAGATGATGCAGGTGTGTTGGCCCTGGATACCAAGCTTCTTAGCGCCTTGGAAAGCTATCGAGTCTCCTTCAGCTTGCTCCCTCTGTTGGCAAAGAAGGACAGTCCGGGAAACATACAGAAAAAGAACAAGCCGCAGCAACCCTGGACAGGTGGAAAAGGATCAGTTGGGGGTACACAGAAACCTTGGTTGAAACAAAAAGGAGGCAAGAAAGGAGGCAAGTCGAAACAACGCGTGCCATCTCACATCTTCAAGTTGGGCGGAACGGCTTCCAATCCAGAAGGGGAGCCCATTTGTTTCGGATTTAATTCAGAAGGAGGTTGTTCGGAAGCAGCAGATGGCGCCAAGTGCCGCAGGGGGTTGCACATATGCTCCAAATGTTACGCATCCCACAGCATTTTGCAACATGGGAATTGACTACATTCCAAAGCCGTGACCTCAGAGTTATCAACTGATAAAGCAAAAGCATCAGGTGGTAGGTCCTTTAGCGATGTTGCCTTGGAAGTTCCAAATTTTGTGAATGATAGGGTGGTCAAATCTCAGTGCGAGTATCCTTCCGCCACTAATCCATGCTGTGAGCGTGTTGGCAAAAAGGAACATTTTTCCACAGTTCTCCAGGAATCAGCGCAATCGTGTCAGGAACATCAGCAGACGGAAGCTGGTAGGGTCAATTTTGAACAATTTGGTGCACTTGAAATGCAAAGCCATCTCAATCAAAGTCATTTTTCCTTCTCAACTGAGCAAATCACTTGTCCAGTGATCATAGAGGTTTTCTGTGGAAGTGCGCGGGTCACGGCAAGCTTGAAGGAGCTCGGTTTGGTTGAATCTTTTGAAGTTGACCACGAAGTTGACAAGGCCATTGCAACTGTGAAGAAACTGGATTTGACAGACAAAGAAGACCAAAAGATTTTCAAGCAATGGATGAAATCACCTTTAGTGGTTGGCATTTTCTGGGCGCCGCCATGTGGTACATGTTCACTGGCTAGAAACATACAGCTCAGGGATTCGTTTGGCAGGAAAATCCCAGGACCTGTACCATTGAGGTCACCTGAATTTCCAGAAGGGCTATCAGGTCTGCGAGACAAGGATCGTCGCCGGGTGTCAGCGGCGAACAAGCTCTATGAGTTCTTAGCAGAAATAATCAAGGAGGCAGTGACCAGAGGTCTAATCATAGTTGTGGAAAATCCAAGATCATCACTTTTTTGGCAGACTCGATTTTGGAAGTCAGTTGCAAAGCATTTTCATTACACATCACATCAGGCGTGTGCTTACGGAGGAGTCAGACCGAAATGGACAGTGCTTGCTTGGAATCATCATCGTTTCAGTCAAATCAATTTGTGTTGTGTAGGTGAGTCACCATCGCATGTCCACAAGCCTTGGGGCATCGTACACTCTGAACAAGGTACGCATTTTTCAACTAGTGAAGAGGCAGCTTACCCTCGAGGCTTAGCTCGAGCAATAGCCAAAGCATTTGCGGACATCTTGATACAGCATGGGTGGAGTCCACCACATGAATTTTTCCAGACACAATCAAATGACATCCCCTTGAAAACTATGAGGGCAATAGCCACTGCTCAACCGAAAGCATCCAGAATCCCTCCAGTTGTGAGGGAACATAAGCAAGTTGTTGTGGTACGTGGACCGGCAGACTCCCTTAATAGCATGCCAGTCGAACCAATGCAGAGGCTCAAGTCTCCACTACATGTGCCAGCTGAGTGCGACTCTGCAGTGCGAGTCCTACCAGAAGGTTCACAATTGTTAAGGGTCACACCACTGCGGTCAATGGGGGGTATAGCAGCACAATCTTCAGTTCTGGTCAAGGAACAAAAAACTGTCATGGAGCAAGCGTGGGGTATTCCCTTTATGCCTGAGGAGTTCATTCAAGAAGCTGTGAACAGAGGACATCCAAAACTCATCTCAACGCTTGTACCTCCTGTTCTAATGGAAGCTGTTTTTCACAATTTCCATAATGGGGACCTCAGCCAATTACCACGGCTTAGAGCAGAGTGGTTCAGCAAATGGACAGCCAGAGCCAACGAGCTTAAAGCGGAGGAGCTGCAGTGGAAGGCAAGCATGCCGGATCACATTGCAAACATTCTAAAACCAAAGCGGCTTCTTCTTTGGAAGGAAATTTTGTTGGACATTGGATACCCAGATGCAGATGTGGTGTCGGAGCTTTCGAATGGGACTGAGCTTGTGGGGGAAGTTCCTTCCTATGGCATTTTCGAAAAAACTTTCAAACCAGCAGAAACCACAGTGGAGAGTTTATGCAAGGCAGCAAAATCAATCAAGCGAAAACAGTTTTACAGTTGCAGATCATCGGGAGACACCGAAATCGATGAGCTTGTATGGAAGAAAACTCAAGAAGAAGTAGAGCTGGGATGGGCATCAGGACCATTGGATATAGCTGACCTGCCCACAGATGCAATTGTAAGCAGACGTTTTGGTCTCCGACAGCCAGGGAAAATCCGTCTAATAGATGATTTGTCAGCCAGCAGTGTCAACCAGACGGTGCAGTGTGCAGAATCGCCAAAACCACAGTCGATTGATTTTGTGGCCGCCCTCCTGTTGACAATCCTGAAAAGCAGTGGAGGAGCAAAAATCAAAGGCAGGTCTTTCGATTTGAAAAGTGCGTATAAGCAACTTGCCATAGCTGAGTCATCCTTGCAGTTTGCTTTTGTCGCCGTGTACAACCCCTACAAGAAAAAAGCTGAGGTGTATCAGTTGCTTGCAACACCGTTTGGAGCAACCAGAAGTGTGTATTCATTTTTACGCATATCACATGCAATTTGGTACACGGGTGTCAAAGCCTTGAAAATAATGTGGAGCGTGTTCTTCGATGATTATGTGGTCTTTTCGCATGAGAGCCATGTCAACAATACTGAAACTACAGTTGAACTCTTGTTCCAACTGCTGGGTTGGAAGTTTGCAGTGGATGGTGATAAGGCTACTTGTTTCGATGAAGAATTCTCGGCGCTGGGAGTACGCATAAATTTGGTAGACGCTCAATTGGGACGAATCAATTTCATCAACACTGAAAAGCGTATCAAAGAACTGAGCGACGCTATAGGGGACATTATCAAAAAAGGAAGAATGACTGTTTTGGAATCTCAGAAACTCAGAGGGAGAATGCAGTTTGCCGATGGACAGGTTTTTGGGCGTTTGGGAAAACTTTGCATGAAAGCCATCACTAATCATGCTTTCAAGAGCCAGGGTGATAAATTGGAAAAACAAACGGTCGACGCCTTGAGGAGGTTTACAATTTTCCTGAACCATGCTAAACCTAGAAGCTTGGAGTTGGCGTCGGATTGAGTCTGGACCATTTACACTGATGCTTGTTATGAACCTCACAGAGAAAATTGGGTTTGTGGCCTCGGTGGAGTTTTAGTAAACCCACTGAGTAACAAGGTGGCTTTCTTTTCAGTTGAGTTATCTGCGGAACAAAGAAACGCACTGGGAGCTAGGTCCAAAAGGACTATCATCTTTGAGGCTGAATTGCTGGCGATGGTGCTTGCGTTTTCTGTTTGGAAAGCAGTCATTGGATCATCCAGTATCATATGCTTTGTGGACAACAATTCTGCAAGAGATGTCGCAATCTCTGGGTGTGGTAGGAACGACATTGCAAATGTTTTGGTGGAATTCCTTTTGAAGCTTGAGATGGCCACCAACGTCACACCGTGGTACACTCGCGTGCCCACACCTTCCAACATAGCGGATGATCCTTCCCGTGGAGTTATTCAACACCTGTTGGAGTCTGGATCTGAGCGCAAAATTCCTTCAGCCGAGTTGCAGGACATTTTCACAATACTTTCGGAATCTGCGGTTAAGAGGGGAGATGCTGAACAGTGATTTATTTTTTCTTTGCAGAGCAGTGGAAAGACATTCGACTATGTGTCGATTCATTCCTTCAACATATCAGCCTTTGCATCTACAGATGCATCAATGGAACTTGTGGCTGATGTCCAGCCAATACTGTGACGCAGGATTCATCTATCCCCATGTCACCGACGGAGAAAAAGAGTGTGGAGCGAGTTTCAAATGCCAGCAGTGATTCAACATTCTGACTTCATTTCGCAGTTGCATTCTTGGGGCACTTGGTTCAGTTTGGCATTTTCCCTGCCACCCTTGGTTCAGTTTGGCGTTTATCCCTTTTGGTTTTGCGGCGTATACATGTGGGGGGTAGGTCATGGGGTTAGCAGCCACAAGTTTTGAAATAAGTAAGCGGTCAACTTGTTGATAGCTCCTTATTTCAAAACTTGTGAGAAACAAGGTTTCGTGCTGCTATCTCCCTCTGCCTTACCTCTCCTCACTCCTTGTGGTCTCTACGATGAACCAAGGGTCAACAATTCAACAGTGAAACTGAACCGTTTATTTGCAATGCTTTTGATGATGCTGCGTTTCAACAGAGGGTTTTACACATTCAAGGGTTTCGGAATCTGGAGTCATTTACAATGTCTGAATTGCAATTCATTCTTCAGAGACTTCGTTGGACATTTCATTTTATGTTATGGCCGTGGAATTTGGCTGAGGGTGGGTGGTGGGACACCTCTTATTTTGAGGTTGTTTTGCCCCCACCCTCCACACCCTTGCAAAAACAACCTTGTACAGCTACGACATTGAGTGCACAGTTCACACAGTGCATCACTTGGTCAACTCATTCGGAACTATATGTTCCTGTTGCTGTACTCTCTTGCTGCTGTACGTGGTGTACAGTTTGTCCCGACGTGTTTGACGAGGATTTTTCACAGTGTGCAGTTCGGGAGATGCTGAACAGTGATTTATTTTTTCTTTGCAGAGCAGTGGAAAGACATTCGACTATGTGTCGATTCATTCCTTCAACATATCAGCCTTTGCATCTACAGATGCATCAATGGAACTTGTGGCTGATGTCCAGCCAATACTGTGACGCAGGATTCATCTATCCCCATGTCACCGACGGAGAAAAAGAGTGTGGAGCGAGTTTCAAATGCCAGCAGTGATTCAACATTCTGACTTCATTTCGCAGTTGCATTCTTGGGGCACTTGGTTCAGTTTGGCATTTTCCCTGCCACCCTTGGTTCAGTTTGGCGTTTATCCCTTTTGGTTTTGCGGCGTATACATGTGGGGGGTAGGTCATGGGGTTAGCAGCCACAAGTTTTGAAATAAGGCAGGACAATCATGAAGTCCAGAGAAAGTTTGCCTCCAACCGTCATTTTGTTCGGGGGTCAGTCGGGACGCCTGAAGGCAATTCAAGCATCTCAGGCAACCATGGGATCCAATGTCAGGCACCATCACTTGGATCTAAGACCCTGAAAGCATCTAGCATTTCAGAAACCAATGGATTCATTGACCCACGCCTGTAAATTTGGGATCTTGACCCTTGACGGCACCATCACTTGGATCTAAGATCTTGAAAGCATCTAGCATTTCAGAAACCAATGGATTCATTGATCCACGCCAGTTAATTTGGGATCTGGACCCTTGACGGCTTCTTAATGACAACTTTGTTTGCAGTGTGAAATCTGGGATTACTCAAATCATCGTTTGCATGATTTTCGGTTGAGTTTTGAATCCGATTGTTTCCTGGGCCAAATCCTCGAAGTGAAATTCACCTTCACTTGAGTACCAGTAACACATTGAGAAGGAGGGTTTGCAACCAGCTAGGACACTCAACCTTGTGGAACCCCGGGGAGTATAGAGATCAGTCTCTAACACCTGGTTCCATGTTTTGTGGCCCGTTTTTCGGAATTCCACGTGTGTTGGACAGCTGTGTTTTTTTTAAAAAAATTTTGTTTTGATTAACGGGCGAGCAAGTGTCACACGGTAACTCAAGGATACCCCGTATTCTGGAGTGGCTCTGGGGTAATGTTTGGCCCATCACCCTTTTTCTCTCCTACTAAATCGTGGGCTCACAGCTCTAAATGTTGCGAAGGTCAGGACCAAGCTCGAGGAAGCCGTACAGCCATGCTGACGCCCAGGGAGAACCTGGACGTTGACAGCGAGGACTCGGAACCCACACCCCACAGACACTCAGGTTTCAGGGTCGTGGCCGAAGACGGACTCCAATTGTCGCATTTCCTCGCCAGAATCTCGAACAAGAGATCGAGCGAGGTTCGAGTTTACTCTTTTCAATCGAGAAAACCACTCCCAATGACCACGAAGATGGGTGACCTTCCTTTGAAGATGTCGATACAGATCTGGTCAGAAGATTTGGCAGGAGCTATCGAAGAAGGCCTGAAATCCGGCCATGTGAAGAGCATTGACAAGGACAAGACGAAGGACTACAAGGTGTTCTTCATCAGGCACATTTCCGCCTGGGAATTTTTTGACAGTTGCGAGACAGACCGAGCTCAGCAAGATCGTCGAATTCAACAACTTTCTGACGAGGTGAACGTTCTTCGCACCAGGTTGGAAAACCTGGAAAGGGCACAAGGCACTCGCTGAACAAAAGGGTTGCCCATGATTTGAGGGAAACCCTTGCTCTGCAACGCTGCTCCGATGGGTGGCCGTCCCACATTGCGGCGAAGTTGGGGCCGACCCCTGACGGGTAAACCCCCCAGCACTGCCAAGTCGAGGAAACGAGGGCCTTTATATTTTTTTATTGCAATTTTGGTTGAGGGACGATTCAGTGGACTACGTGTGATCGACGTCTTCCTGCTTTCGCTTTTACCATTGCATCGGGCTGGGACTAGATGAGGAACCCCACTTTGGACCGTCTTCTCCAGGATGCTTGCTACGGATGTGAGAGTTTCCTATGCCCCTGCGGTGTCCAAATCTGGTGATGGACTCGACAGGCGCGACGAAGTTTGGTTTGCACCCTACGCCTGAAGGACCCTTCCACGAAGGGAACGATCTTTCAGCTGTACGCTGCAAATCTATATTGCGAAGCAAAGTGGCTCAACCGGTTTGGTTTTTTCCATACATGCCTCAATCCGATCAAGGCACGTTGCGTCAGAGTTGGCTGAGTTTTTACAAGACAGCACGATACCATATTTTTCGGACAGCAGTGCATCAAGATCAGTTTTATTGTTCGAGATCTTTGACCTCCCTGGGTACAATTTTTGTGATGAGCGTTTTGTTTTTCATGCAAATGCAGTTATTCCGGCCGACGCGGAGGACTTGCCAACCGAGGCGATTCAACGGACCAACAGTCTCATTGGAGCTTATCTGACATGTCCACGTGACATTGACGGGTCGGAGTCGGTTCGGCCATTCCCCTCCGTAGTCCAGGGAATCGAGTGCCAAAAACTACCTGAGGACAACCTTTTGGGGTGTGCTTCGGAAAACCTCGGCTTAAGCAGCAAGCACGTTCGAGAGCTTGCAGAGTGTTCCTGCCAGAGCACTAGTCGCAGTGGGGAATTATCGGGTGCTCTGACACTTGGCATCACGTCACTTCGTGTCAACGTTCGACAGTGATGGAATCATGACCCATCCAATGCACCTACAACAAGATCAGCTGGAACCACGACCGGCCTTGGATTTACCCCCGACTGTGCAATTACTGGAAGCAAAAAGGAAATCAATATAAAGTCCGAGTGTTGTGCACTTGTGTTCTCTTTTTCGAAGCGTCGGCAACTGCGTTTTTTGTAGTAAGTTTTATTTATGTAAATGGTACATTTACATGAATACTGCTTACCTTACATCACAACGGTACGCCATATAATTTAATATAATTATATGGATTGCAAATTAACATTTGAAACTTCCACCACCAGTGTTGAATTAGTCTCAACCGATCCTGGTTTTGTGGAGAAATAAGATGTCACTCTTTTGAAAAAAGATGAAAGCATTATTTCTCCAAACAAAAATTTGTGAACCCTCACAAATAAGGATCAACAGGAATCTTCTCTGGTTGGTGGTAAACAAACGTTTGCTAAGCGTTGAAACATCCAACCAAATCTGGAAGCAAACAATTTGGCGTTCAACTCCCATTTCTATTTTCTGAATTTTCGATGTGGTATTCAATAATTCCATTGGAAACACCACATCCTTCACACGTCACATCATCATTTGTAATGCTGTGACTTTTCCCAATCAAGTGGTGGGAGGGCGGGAGTCCCTTTAAAATAAGGGGCAATTTTTTCACCCACCCCGTTTCTCACTCCCACCCAAAAAATTGGGGAATTGGGAATTATCGGGTGCTCTGACACTTGGCATCACGTCACTTCGTGTCAACGTTCGACAGTGATGGAATCATGACCC